GGGGGGGGGGGGGGCGATGGCAGCCCCGAGCGAGAAGCAAGGAGGCGGGACGAGATAATGCAGCATGGATGCACTCTCAAGAGGGCGCGACAAAGAAAGCGAAGCCGATGTGTGCGTGCGGGACTTGAGTCGCAGCCTGCGGCAGGGTCGGCGTAACCCTACGTACAACCGTATATACCAAGCCGTGCGGAGAGAGAGCGCGAGAGAGCGCACCCCCACCGCACATGCACACACCGGAGCACAGCTGTTCGCGGATCGGTCAACCCGCTCGAACCCGGCGCAGCAGCCCGCGACGCCCCGACGACGGTCGGACCCATCAAAAGACAAAACACCGACGAGCGAGAGTCCACAGAGAGCGACAACGGAGAGCGACGGCGAGCGGGGAGTTTATCACATTTGTATTTTAGGGATTTAGCAGAGATGCATAGATGTGTACACATGACTCATGACGTCATGAGCGAGCGTCGCCGTCGGGGCGCCTCAGCGAGCCCCGTGCCGCTGCTTCTTCTTCGCCTGCTCCACTAGGGGCCCAAGCTCGCCGCGCTCGGCGAGGACCTGTTCGCAGCCGGACGCGTGACATGGCACACGCCCGCCGCCGCGTCTCGGCCGCCTCTCGGCTGCATCTCTCGGCCGCGCCTTGAGGAAGTTGACGATGAAGGGCGCGTAGTTGTGCCGCCGGCGGATGTTTTCGATCTTCCACTGGCCGACGCGCTGCTGCTCGTTCTCGATGTCTGCGGCCACCTTTGCCGCCCGGGCGGTCAGATGGGCGAGCGCGATGAGGAGCTGCTCGAGCGTCCGCTCGTCGACGGCGACCTTGTGAGGAGGAGGGGGAGAGGGGGGGGGCGGGGGAGGGGGAGGAGGGGGGGAGTGAGGGGGTGGCTAGCTCGGGACGACAGGGGTGGGGCGAAGGAGGTGGGGCGAGGGACAGGCTGGTGGTCGAGTCCCGAGTGGTGTGTGTGTGTGCGAGAGGGGGGGCTGGGGGCACCTCCCCGGTGGCAGGCGGCTCCGGGTGGGAGGCGGCTAGCCGCTCGAGCTCCGCAGGCGAGGGCAGCTTGCCGGCCCTCGCCTGCACCTTGCCGACAGTCATGTTCCGCTCCTTCTCGATGACGGCCTGGGGCGGGGGCCAGGCGGCGGTGGGGGGCGGAGGGGCGGTGGCGAGGGGCGGTGGCGAGGGGCGGTGGCGAGGGGCGGTGGCGAGGGGCGGTGGCGAGGGGCGGTGGCGAGGGGCGGGCTGCAGCGGGAGGTCGGGGCGGGCTGTTGGGGTGGAAGAAGGTCCTGCTCTGCGAGGAGCCTCTCTCGCCGGTCCGCCGTGACGGCCATCAAGTTGAATCGGATCTCGCGCGAAGAGTACTGCTCGATCCTCGCCTAGGGGAATCACTGCCGGCAGCTGTGCAGCCTTCGGAAGGAGATGAGGAGTCCTGCTCGATCCTCGCCTCGAGGGAGGGGAGAGGGTGGGAGGAGTGTGTGAGCACGGCCAGCTGCCCGGCCTGGACGGCGGGCGTGACTAACTCTGGCCTCAAACCCTAACCTAGCCTAACCGAACCTAGGCTCAACCCGAGCCGAACCTAGGCTCAACCCCAAAGCCCGAGCCCCGACCCCAAAGCCCGAGCCCGCGCCTGGATGGCGGGAGTGACTGCGTCGAGCCAAGCCTCGCCCGGGCCAGCGTCGCCGAGGCAGATGGGCCCCGCCTAGAGCCAGGGGGGCAGAGGCAGGGGGTGGAAGGTGTGTGTGAAGAGTGAGAGCCGTGGGGGTGTCCGAAGAGAGCCGTGGCAGTCTACAGCTGGAGGCTGGAGGGGGTACAGCGAGGGTGTGCCCGCCTTGAGGCCGTCGAGCTCGTACAGCTTGCCATCGACGGGCACGTACGAGATGAAGTGGTACACCTCGTCCTCCTCCTTGCTCGCCCGCCGCTCCTCGCTCACCGTCGGCTCCGCCCTTGCGAACGAGTTGTGCACGCGGCGCAGCAGGTCCGAGTTGGAGATGGCGAGCCCTTTGACGTCGGGGGGGAAGTCCTTGGTGAAGGCCTTGAAGGCGGTCATCTCCTCGCCCAGCGAGATGGACGGGCAGTTCATCAGCACCGAGAGGATGGCCTGGGTCGCGCACGCATTCGGAATCATCTGAGAGGCGAAAAACACGCCGGGCCCGGGAGTGACGGTGGCCCGGTCGTCCTTCTCGCCGCGCCAGCGAAAGAGGAAAATGAGACCGTGCACAGGCCCGACCTCCGCCATTGACTCCTTGTCGAGCGACCAAAGCTCATGCACCTGTGACGGTGCGCACACCTGTCACTGCGGCGTGCGCTTTGAGCGGCCTCCCGAATCTTAACCCCCGCCTGCACGCCCTTGACGCCGAGCTCCGTGATGAGCTCCGAGAAGACGCCGGGGTCGCTCTCTATTGTGCACCAGCCGGAGGCCATCAATGCGCGTCGGAGCAAACACCAGCAAAGAGCCCGGCGGCCGGGGAGGCTGTAGCTAAAAAAAGAATTCCGCCGGCCCTGGCAAATAGCTCCTCCTCCTCGTCCCTTCCTCCTCTCCTCTCTCTCTCTCTCTCGGAGTAACTCGCGACAGCCTCCCGCGCAACCACATTCCCGGAGGCTCCCCCCACACACACACCGCCCACCCCGTCCCCAACGCCCCAGCCCTTTCAACCCCCCCTCCCCCACCCACCCACCCCCCCACCACCACCCCACCCTCCCAACCCCCCCGCTCCAATCGCGTGCCTCTCCGGCAAAGGCGCCTGAGGCGCGCCGAGACGGACGCGCGGCGCGACGTGAAGTAAACGTCGCGCGCTCTCGACGCCCGAGCCCCACCCTCCGACCATCTCCCCCCTCACTTGTTGCCCTGCCGCCGCGCCCGCGCGCGCCGCGCCTTCAGCCTCGCGGCGGGGGTCTGCTCCTCCTCCGTCGCCGCCTTTGGCGGGCTGGGCGGCGGCTTGCCACTCATGGCCTCGCGCAGGGTCGTCAGCGCCGCCTGCACCTCCTCGTCCCGCTGGTTCGCCACCATGGCCGCAGTCATCTGCTGCTCCGTCACGCCGTGGTTCTTGCGCACCTGCAGCACGACAGCCTCCATTGCATTCTCAAAGTTCTGCTGCAGCTCCTCGACGCACTTATCGAGCGGGATCCCCGTCTGCTCGTGCTTGGCGTACACCATCTTGCGCGTCTGCTCGATCAGCTGGTACGCCGCCGCCGACGACTGGCCGAGGATGCGGATGAGCTTTTCCTTGGTCAGCGCGCCACCGTTGGCGCCGCTGCCAGATTGGCTCTTCCGCTTCTCCTTCTTGAGCTTGCGCCTCCTCTCGTGCACGAGGACGTACAGCGAGCCAAGCAGCGCCGCGGCCGCCAGGCCGAGGCAGGCCTTTGTGGCGTCCTGCATTCCTCTCGCACCCACGAGAGACGATCGGGGGGGGGGAAGAAAGAAATACCCGCGCTTTTTTAAGCTGCTGCTCGCTCGAAGCGCGGCCGACTCTACCATCGCGGCCGCAGCTGTTGAGCTCTCCAGAAAACTGGTGCCTCATATGCTGCCTCCCTGCGGATGCTGCCGGCGAGCCTGGCGGTCCTCCGCTGTACTACAAGGAAGTGCTGACTCGATTCTACCTCGAATTCTTCTACCCCCACGACTCGGAACGCGAATGTGACAGGACCATCGGGTCCTTCAGCCTTCAGCCACACCCAAAGTGAGATCACCCGAGAGCAGCTGAGCGCCTGAGCCTGCCTCTGGCCTCGCCTCCCTCTCCTTCAGGCATTCGTGGCATCCTATGGGTTGTCCAGAGTATCGACCTCTGGCGAGTCAGCCAGCCCCACTTTGAGGGCGCCATGAAGTACAGAGATCGCCAACTCGCTGGTCTCTCCGCAAGGCCCCCCTCTAGGCACTAGGGCCCCCCGACCGCGTCGAACTCATCGGCGCGGGCTCTCTCGGCTACGGGACCGGCCCCAGCTTCGGCTGAGGGCTGACAAGCTGCCGAGCCCAAATCACTGTGAAGTCGTGATTTCTTCTTGACATCTTGGAGAGGCGAGGCAGCTGCGCCGCCCGGCGACCGCGAGGGAGACGGCGTGGGCCGTGGCGGCCGGCGTGAAGATCGGGTCGGCGGCGCCGTCGACGACGAGCGAGTGCGACTTCGCCGCGAGCGGGGTGATGAAGAGGTTGTCCAGCGCCCACCTATCCCTAAATAAAAGAAAAAAGCGCTTGAAATGAAAGAAAGAATGAAAACAGACAGCCCAAACGAGGGATGGGGGAGGAGGACAGGGTCCCCACCTGCACGAGCAGGATTTTGGAAGGACGATCAGGGGCACAGGTGGGGCTCTCCTGCTCCTGACAAGGGACACGACAGGCTCGCAGCGCGGTGCACGGTGGACTCCCAACTCCACTGGCGGTCTCATCTCACACGTCTCACACACACGATCTCAGTCTAGCGACCTGCCTCCAGCTTCTCGCTGGCAGTCTCTCGCTACCACAGGCACAGTGACAGGGGTGGCAGGGGCGGCGGCAAACGAGGGACGTAACACGAGCTTCGGAAAAAATTCTCCGCCGATAACGATTGGGGTGGGGGCCCCAACTCGTGAAAGGCCACTAGTTTCTCGAAGCCACTCACACGAGGACTCACCTCCATGACACTTCCATCTTCTCCCCGGACCTCGCAGCTCGCTGCGTGTGGTTTTATTTATCATGGACGCTATGGCGTCTAGGACGCGCCTGTCTTTCACCGCCTCGTTTAGCGAGCGCTCTGCATGGCAGCGTGCTCCTCTTTTGCTGACCGCCAGAGCGGCGGCAGCACAGATTTCTTTTCTCCATGACCGTGTGGCCGATCGGCCACGAGCCGCCTCGGGCGGTCAGGCTTCAGCCAGCGGCGCCTCCTGGTGGCGCCTCCGGTCGGCCACGCTTGCCGCCGCAGTTCGGCTTGGCTACAGCTCCAAGCGTGGCTACGCGCAGGTCGGCCCCTTTGACGGGACGGGCACCGCCTCTCGCCAGGCCATCCCGAGAGCGCCTGGTCCCGGCCGGCGCACTTCCGATGCGCGGGATGTTAGCGTGCTCTCGTACCGTGAGTACTCTCCATGTGTGGAGTCACGAGTCTCGTACGCATGACGGACCCTTTTACCATTCCAATGTATCCTCACTCGGATACTAGGATGTGTGAAGCGAGATAAACTAGTTTTTGGCTGAACCAGGGGGCCGCCGCGAGGCTCTACCACCAGCCGCTGCTGCTCGCCCCAAGCGCGGCCTCAAAGCTCGGAAGCGTCACCGGAACCAGGACGATGGTGAAGAACAAGGGTTTGCGGCCGCCGCCAACCGCGCCTCGTCACCCGGCCGCTCGCCCTCCCACCTCTGCCGTCTCCCGCCGCAACAGGTAAGGGCGGCAAGAATCGCCGCCGCGGAAAGGCGGACGGAGACAACAAGCGCGAGCTCATCTTCAAGGAGGACGGGCAGGGTGCGGGCCCCGCCCTGCCGCGGCATGCTTCCCGCACTTCGGCGCCGCGCGCGGCACGCGGCCGGGCGCCCACGTCTTCACATCCCGCTGCCCCGCGCCCGCCGCCCGCAGAGTACGCGCAGGTGACGCGGATGCTTGGGAACGGCCGGCTGGAGGCGTTTTGTTTTGACGGCGTCAACAGGTCCGCGCATCCTCCCAGCCGCGGCGGGCGTGCCCAGCCGCCGCTACCGCCGGCCGCACCTCACTCTGTGTGTGTGGGCCTGCTGGCTTGCGGCCGCCTCTCTCGCGGAGGTGTGTGCGTGTGTGCGTGTGTGCGTGTGTGCGTGTGTGCGTGTGTGCGTGTGTGCGCACGGGCGGCGTCGCGCGCGGCCACTCCGCTCTCTCTCTCTCTCTCTCTCTCTCTCTCTCTCTCTCTCTCTCTCTCTCCCTCCCTCCCTCTCTCTCCCTCTCTCTCTCTCTCTCTCTCTCTCTCTATCCTCTACTCTCTCTAACACACACACGCAAGCAGGATATGTCATATACGGGGGAAAGTACGAAAGTGAGTGTGGATCAGACACAGAGATATAGCGCTTCGGGCTGTGCGAGAGAGAGAAGAAAAAAAAGTGTGCGTCCCACACCTCTCTCTGC